CGTGCGTGCGTGCGCGCGCGCCCGGGGACTCACTCCGGGCTTTCCATCGCCTTGCTCTGGTTTTGCCTTTGGAATGGGCCTCGGCGCCCTTCCGCGCCTGCTGCCGGGCGCTTCTCCGGGAGACCACGACCTGCTCCCCGGGTTTTCTCCCTCCTCCTCCAGCCTAAAGTGGGGCCACCAGCCCTGCCCGACGCGCCCCTTCCTCCCTCACGGCCCCTCGCCCTCCGTCTCCCTCCTCTCCCCGCACGGTCCTCCTCTCCACCCACCGATCCGCGCCATCGATTACCCCCCCCACCTGGACCCTGGGGGCCGCTGCCAGGGACCCAGCACCCCTCAGCCCGAGGGCCAGGGTCCTGTCCCCGGGGTCCCTGGGGCGGGCCCGGCCCCCTCTGCCATCGGTCCTCATTTCCTGTCTCTGCCAGCCTGGGACTGGACCACTGTGTCCTCTCCTTAACTCTTCCTTTAGCCCAGAGATGTCTCTCAGCTGTACCTCACCAGCCCCAGAAGCCCTTGCTGTAGCCATAAACGTTAATGGCCCCAATTATCCATCTGGCCTGGAAGGGCGCAAGGAGCGCTCCCTGCGGGGAGCAGGCCCGGGGAAGGGTTGTACTGCCACCTCCCCCCAGCTTTCCCTTTCCCTAGGAGACCTAGGCGGCTGCCTGGGTGGCTGCCTGGGTCTTTCTCCCTTCGATTCCTTCTCTCCAGTTTCGGAAGAGGCCGCACCGCTTTTTGCGTCCAGGGAGAGCAGGGCCAGTCTCTCCCTGGTCTGGGAAGCATTCAGCAAAATGGCGCTGGCCTATTTTTGCAATATTTCTATTTTGCAAAGGGAGGGGCCCAAAGAGGCCTTGGGGCAAAGACATCAAGGGAGTTAACAATCTACTCTTTCTCCTACTTTCTCCCTCTTTTTCTCTCTTTCAGACTGTTCTTTAGTTCTAAATGGCCTCACAAAGAATGCAGCGCTGCTCCTCCCTCTTTCCACTTCTCTCCCCAATGCCTTCTTAGCAGCCCCCCATTCCTGGCTTCCACATGGTCTCCAGGACACACACCCCCATCCTTAGGTACAAACAACAGTTGGAGAGGTCCAGTTTTCCTGAGCCCAAAACTCTGAATAAGGGAACAGAGGTCCTTAAACCAAACCACAGTTTCCCCCAAAGGCCTCACTAGGCCCGTGGAGGGGCGCATCTGTGTCCTGGGGTGCTTTAGAGCACATGCGAGCCTGTGCGGGTGGGAGGGCTGCCACCCAGGACTCCCCAAAGCAAGACTTTGCTCTTTACAGCTTTGCCTGGTAAAGCAACCCCATACCCAAGTTCTGAGCCTCTGCTTCTCTTGCAGGCCTGATGCCAGGTATGGATGGGTAATTTCTGAGTCTGTTTGAAGATACCTGCACAGATGAGGAACCCCCTGCTTCAGAGACTTATATAGACTCTGGCTGGCTCCGAATATCCCTCTGTGCCTGTCAATGGTGGCAGGGCTGACCCCCTGAGGAGGGGTCAAGAGGCAAGGTCAAGACAAGAGCAGACAAGAGAGCATCTTTCCTTCCATTTCCCAAAGTAGGGCCAAATGGATTGGCCACCCAAAACCTTGTGGCCTCTAGTGCGTAAGGGCTGGCGAGAAGTGGCTGACAGGGCAGGCTGGAGAAAGCTGGGAGAAGACAGCACATCCAGAGGCACCACCATGTTGCCACCCTTGGTGGAGAGAGGTGTGGGCAGCCTGGAGATCGGTGGCCACAATTCAGCCACCACAGGCAGAGCAGGCCCTGCCGCAGAGCAGGAAGCCTTCCGGGGAAGTGAATAGATCAGAGAAGCAAAAACACAAACATACAACAAAACACAGAGGCCAACTTAGCATATTAGGAGTTGAGGTCTAAGCAGAAGGCTGAGGCGTCGAGGCTGTGTGATGGAAAGTCCCTAGATCTCTCCCTCTGCTTATGTGCTCACACCAAGGGCAGAGAGCTGGAGCTCAAGCGTCTCTTAGGACTAAGACCCACTTTTGCCTTGCTGACCCGGATGTGAGACACCTCTGAGATTCAGAGACCGGGCCACAATGAGGCGATTCCGGCCTGTACTCAGGGAATGGAACACCCAATGCTACAGTTCCCCTTGGACTCCAGGCCCTGGCTTAGAGCTTTCCGCTCCTGCTACAACACCCACCTCAAGCGCAAAAGAGTAGAGCAGGAGACACCCAAAGCAATCGCACCCACCCAGGTATCCCACAGGATCACCCCCACTCCCCAGTCAAGCTGCCACCCTGGCTCCGTCTTTCTGCACCCCCAGTGTGCCCACTCATTCTCTCTCCCTCCCGAGCCCCAGGCCTTCTCACTCACCAACCTGTTTACACACCAGGTATCTCATGCTTTATCTGTTCTCATTTTGAATTGGTAACTTTCACATAAACTTGAACAAAGCTCCTTTTGTTCCTGCACCCCACCCCAGGATCCCAATAAACTGGTTCCTTCTGAGACAAGGCGACTGGGCCAGGGCACAGAAGCCTTGGCCAGAAGACTGCGTGTGCATGAGAACAAGCATGTTCGCACCTGCGAGGGAGCCCGAGTGTTTGTGTGTGAGTGTGTTCCTCAGGCAGATGATGGAGGAGGGTGTCAGGGAGCACCACAATGTGGATGGACCGGAAGTGTGGGAGTGTAAGGAGTAGGGGGGGGGGCACAAGAGGGCAGAACCGAAGCGCCATGGCCTGGGCCTGGGCTGGGCTCCCACACAGCCAAGATCATGGGCCTCGGACAGGCGGGTGTCAGAACTGGGGGGAAACCAGGATGAGGAGAAAACAAAGGGGAGGAAGGAGCAGCAGGGTGGGTGGCGAAGAGAGGAGCCGAGGCCACGCTAAGTGTAAGGCAGACACAGGGATTGCATTATGGCAGGGCCGGGGCTGGCACGGCCGCTCGGCCCATAATCCTGTTAGCCAGCAATCTCCATTCCGAAAGAGCTTCATTTCTTTGTGAATATTTGTAAACTAGATATCTAATGGAAAATTATAGGAAAATTATAGTGAAATTCATGACGGAGAAATCCGATTATCCCTAATTCAATTATGCCATCTTAGCCCACACAGCACATTTCCCATTTTTTTCCCATAAATACCGATGCCAGGGGTCCCGGTAATCAAATAAAATTGAAAATCATCTTCCCATTAAATTCAATTAGCCGCAATTTCTAAAGCCTATCAGAGATTTTAATTACTAAATTATAAAATTCTCCAATGCTAAATTGAAACCAAAAAAAAAAATTTGCACATCCTTATATTTCAGAGAAAAAAAAAAAAAGGCCAGCAAAATCCTTGAAAAATGTCTTCCTTTCTACGTCCAGTTCCAAAGCAGCTTTCTCACCTGGAGGGACCTTTCGATCCTTTCAATGGCTGTCTCCTTGCCCAGCTGGGATGAAGCCAGGGCTACAGAGAAGAGGGACCTGGCAGGGGAGGGGCCAAGGCACACTAGTCTAACAAGGCGCAATCCGTGCCCTTACCCCCAGCCAGCTCTGGCTGCCAACCTTTCTCATTCTCCTGGCTGACGGAGCTTCTGAGTTTGCCCTCAGCTCTGCTCCCCTCCACCGCCCTACCCCCCAGAAGGTCACTAATTCTTAGGGCCATCTTCTTGGCCTATGAGCTAGGCTTGGGCTCAGGCCACTGCTTGGCGTCAGGACTCCGTGTAGTTCCAGGGCAGCTGATCAGATATAGTCAGCAACTTGCCCAAGCCCCAACTCTCTGACCAATCAGCAGGGACCCGATAGCTTAGGCTGGATCAGAGATGGGAGTTGCACAAGCCGGGCATTGAGGGTAGCCGGACACCACAGGAGGGGTTCCGTGGCCCAAAGTCTTTCTTCAAGGCATCTCCAGGAACCATAGGTCCTAGCAGAGTACCAGCTTCCTGGGATAGGCTCAAATCAGGCTCACCCAATGCGTCCAGCCCTTTGCTGCTCCAGGGAAGCTAGCCGGCCGGAAGGAGTGACCCCTCTTGGGGAGTTACTCTTAAATGCCCCCCCTTAAGGGAAATGCTAGCCAAAATCCCAACAGTAACCCCTCCCCCACACCACTTACCCACTTCTAAAGGGTGTTCTGTGAGTCAGGAGAGCCGGGGGAGGTGGCATCGGTGGTGGCATGGGGGTCTAAAACCAAGATAGGTGGTTTGTGGGGGGCAGCTGATGGCTCCGGCAGACTCAGACCTGCCGGCAGCCCAACACCCAGAGAGCAGCAGGCAAGTCTGATCCTCCAGGCAGCCAGGAGTGCCAGCAGGGGAGGTACCCGCAAACAAAACAAAAACAAAAAAGTTAATTATCTTTGGCTTTTTCTTAATAAATATCCAAACTGGCCGGGCCGGATCCTCCGCTTTAGAGGAGAGAGAAGAAGGAGGAAAAAAAAAAACAACCCCACACTCAACCCAACAGAGTCATTCTCTTGGCTACTTTTCCCTTTGTCTCTGGTCCTCGCATTTATCTCTTATCAGGGGCAGAGACAGTTTCACACTAATTCCTAAAGTTTGCAAATGCAAGAGCCTGGCGACCCAAGCTGTTTCTTTTTCTTTCTTTTTTTTAAGTTTTGGGGTGGGACAGTGGGGTGTGAGAGAAGAGAAAGGCAGGTGGGACTAAAAATGGGGGAGACACAGCAGAAGATAAGCCAAAGAGCAGGCGAGAAAGGGAAGGGAGGCCGCAGGGTGGGTGGGACACAGGGAACGGGGCTGGGGGCCTGCTCTGTGGGTACAGCCCTGCCCGTGGCCCTGACTTGGGCAGGGACCTGTTCTGGAATGTTGTGTTGGCACTTGATTTCACTTACAATTATCACAAGACACGGGGATTTCTCATTTTTAAAACTCCCAAACCACCTAAGCCTCATTGGCTACTTGGGCTGTCTGGTTGCTTCCAATTCCTGTGCCCAGCCAACCTCCCAAGAACATGGCTGTGGAGGTGAGCAGGGGGAGGGTCAAGGGGAGGGAAGGCTGGAGAGGTGTGTGGAAAGCTTTTCTGCACAGTCTCTGGTGTACCTGGGGAGAGGAGAGATGCGTGTTGCTGCCTGGGCTATATGTCTGGATGGGGCATGTACAGACCCAAGCCCAAACCGTCAGAAACATGTGCTGGGTGGGGGTGGGGGTGGGGGTGGCGGGCCCAGGCAGCCAGGACATCGAACCATCTCTCACAAGAGCCCTGGCTCTGGAGTCGCTCCATCTGGATTCAAATCCCAGTTCTATCATCCACAGGCTGGGCCATTTTAAGTCACCGGCCCTCTTGGAGTCTCCCACCTAAACGAGTTGGGGCCTAGGTTTGTGGGGACTGGGGTGGTGGGGAGCGACAAAGGGTCTTGAGTTTTTTTCTGGGGGGATGAAAATGTTATAAAAATAAGATGATGGTGATTGTAGGAGGCTAAGATCTGAGAACCGTGGTCAAAGCCAGCCCTGGCAGAAAAGGTTGTGAGATGCTTATGGCCAATTAAATACCAAAAAAAGCCAGAAGTGGGGCTATGGCTCAAGTGGTAGTGTACCAGCCCTGAGCAAAAAGCTTAGGGACATGGGCTGGGAAGGTGGCTCAGTGGTAGAGCGCTTGCCTTGCATGCTCAAGGCCCTGGGTTCGATTCCTCAGCACCACATAAGCAAAAAGAAAAAAGCCGGAAGTGGCTCTGTGGTTCAAGTGGTAGAGCGTTAGCCTTGAGCTGAAGAGCTGAGGGACAGCGCCCAGGCCCAGAGTTCAGGCCCCATGACCGGACCCCCCCCGAAATAAAAGCTTAGGGACAGCACCCAGGCCCAGAGTTCAATCCTCTGTACCTGCACACACACACACACACACACACACACAGATAGTGGGTGATGGTTAACACAACCTTGTGAATACACTAAATGCCACTGAATTTTGTATTATTAAAAGGGTGGATTTTATGGTGTGGGGATTCTATTTTCAACAAAGTGGTGATGAAAAAGAGGAGAGTGAGGAGAAAAGGGAGGACTCATTGCAACCCTAGCATTGTGGCTAGGGCACACGGCCTGGCACAAAGTAAGTGCTCAATAAAGGGCCCACTGTCAATCAGCATCATGCCCGAGCTGGGCTCGGTGAGCAGACACTGCCGGGGCTCACAAATGCCTCCGTGGGTCCGTGGCTAGGGCCGGCAGGTTGTCAGGCTGCTCAGCTGCCTCCAGGGGCTTGGTGGGGGCCTTGGGCAGCTGTTCCCTGGCAGGGGTGGGAAAGTGCATGGCCTCCTCCTGCCTCCCTCTGGTCCCCGGAGAGGAGGCTGCCCACCGTGGCAGGCGGACTCCCGGGCAGCACACTTGCCCGTCTCGCAGACATTCATATTCTCCGTGTGCAGCAGACCGTGAATTCACCTTCATACTAGTTACAGGGTTATTTAGCATCTTCTGACACTGACAATCACAAACTTTAACTCACTGCTTGCCTTCTCCCTGCCGTGCCCTCTGCCCACCCCCAAAATCCTTGGGAGAGGAGGGGAAGGACCAAGGTCTAGCCCTCTCTTGCCAAAGCATGCCCTTTGGAGCTGATGGAGTGATGGACGGAGGTGGGGGTGGTCAGCAGAAGAAGACGGTGATGGGCAAAGGGCTGGAGAGAGAACCGAGCGGGAGAGAAGAAGTACCACCAGGGCTAATGGGAGCTTCGGTCCTGCTCCTCCAGCCTGACACTAATGTATTCAACCTGACATCCCGTCTCATCGTGAGTGACGCCTCAGTCTATCAGGCTGCTGGGCCGAGGTTGTGGGCAGGACTGATGGGCTGAAGTCAGCCTGGGGCTGAGCTCCCAGGACCATGATGCTGGCCTAGGGCTGGCTCTTCTGTCTCTTGCTGGACTCACAGGTGCACATCCAGGAGTCAGGTCCTACAAAATCTTCTTCCCTCACTCCCTTCCACTGGTCCCCTGCCCTATGGAGGTTTCTCCCGGTTTGCTGCTTTATTTCTGCAGTCATCTTTCAGCTGGGTCTGGTCAATGAAGACCCAGCGACATCTCCCATCAACAACTGAAATCCTGTGAAGCTGACCTGAGCACAGGAGACCGGGCTGAAACCTGGTGTCCTTGCTCACTAGGGGGAAGTCCCGCTGTTTGGCTCACCCCCAGCCAGCCCTGACTGTGTTCTTTCACTTCCCCCTGTCTTCTTTGTGCTTCCTCCACACCTTTTCCAGGAGTGGCGCAGCTTCTAGAAAGTCCACAGAGCCCTTTCCATCACCTCAAAAGCCAGTCTGGACCAGGGATGTCCCCCTCTCGGGAACAGTGTGCGTGGAGAGTCATCTGAGTGGGATAAGGAGCTCTCATTCACAAACTCCAAGCCAGCCCCAGCAGCTACTTATTCAAGTTCCCCAGGAGTAGAAAGCCAAGCCAAGAGGACTCACAAAGACCCAAGGCCGGGCAGGCACTGGGCCAGGGAGCTTGGAAAAGGAGATGCAAGGCCCCAGGCAGGGCCAGAGGCAGAGGAGAGGCAGGGGAATACATCAGCAGGTCCAAGTGTGTGTCCACTTCCTTCCAGCCCCATTGCATTGCCCCACCCCTGCCAGCCAGGGAAGTGGCCAAGGGTGGCCTGGGAAAGAGAGATGTCAACGGGGCCTATGGGAGAAGGGGCTTGTTGACTGCAAACTGTCCATTATGGCTCAGATTATAAGCATATTGCACAGGGCTCTCTGCACGATGCCGGGGAAATCCAATACGCTGAAAGGTTAATGCAATCAATTAGGGTGACAAGGAAGTAAAGTAAAGCCTTCCGAGTAGATGAAAAGGAGAGAGAGAGAGGGGGAGAGAGGGAGAGAGAGAGGGAGGGGGAGCTTTGAGTTGGGGGTGGTGGTGACATGGGTGGTGGGAAGGCCAGGAGGGAGAGAAACTTAAGGGGTGCAGAGAGAAGGTCTGAAGGGGAGGAAAGATGGTCAGAGGCCAGAGCCAGCAGAAGAGGGCAGCCAGTGAGCTGAGCAGCACAGACTTTGGCCGTGCGATGCTCCTTTTTCTTCCCCCCTCCCTGTCTGCCTTTTCTCTAGGGCTTGGAGCCTGGCTCCCACATTAGTCCCCAGTCATGGTGCCACACTAGGGCACTCTAGACAGAGCAAGTGCCCACTGAGTGACCTCCAGAGCCTTCTCAGCCAGAACTGCAGCCTGGCTGCCAGATTCCCGGCTGCTCCCCCTCCTCCAGCACTCCGTGCCACAGCCTGCAGCATATGGCGGTCAGGACTTCATTTTGCAGATGGAGAAGATGGCTCAGAGAGGTTGAGATCCTTCTTAGGGGCTTAGAAACAGACGTGAGAAACCCAGCACTACCAGCCTACCCACAGGGGCTTGATCTTCTTTTACAGGTCCCTAGAATCAGGGGCCTTACCCTCCCCAAGGGCTCAGATTCAGAGGGAGCAAAGGAGGACCCCATTTCTTGGCAAAAAGAAATCACCAATTTGAAGTTAGTTAAAGGTGATAGGAGAGCCGGGTGCCAGTGGCTCAAACCTGTCATCCTAGCTACTCAGGTGGCTGAGATCTGAGGATGGTGGTTCAAAGCCAGCCTGGGCAGCAAAGTCCGTGAGACTCCTAGCTCCAATTAATCACAAGAAAACCGGAAGTGGCACTGTGGCTCAAAGTGGTGGAGCTCTTGCCTTGAGCTGAAGAGCTCAGGGGCAGCGCCCAGACCCAGGGTTCAAGACCCACAACCAACAACAACAAAAAAAGGTGACAGGAGAAAAACACAGGGAGGCTGAGAGAAAGAACTCTAGAGCTGGCAGAAGAGAAGAGCTAGGACTTCCAGGAAGGAGGAACCGAGCAGAGAATGAGGCCCTAAGGAAAAGAGGCACAGGGCCTCGGTAACAGCCGGGGCTGCATGCGGCCTGCTGTGCCCCATCATGAGGCTCTGGATGATGGCCGTGGGTGCACTTCATAGCAGGAAACTGCACACCCAAACATGACAAAGAGGGAGGCTGAGAGAGGGTAAATGAGAACAGGGACCTTGCAAGGTGGGGGCCAGTAAACTTATTTCTGTGAAGAACCAGTTAATGAATATTTCCTGCTTGGTAGATGAGTTTCTGATGTAGCCATTCTACTCTGCCACTGACAATCTGAAAATGAATGAACATGCTTTTTTTTTTTTTCCTTTTCTTTTCTTTCTTTCTTTCTTTATCTTTATGCTGTGCCCATACT